GTAACTGAAAAAAATTAGCCGATAGCCGTAAAAGAGCCAAAATTTTAGCCGATAACCGTAAATGCCACCACCCCATTGAGACCCTCTACATAGAGCCTCTTGTGTAAATAGAAAATTAATAATCCATAAAGAAAAAAAATCCATAAGCCGATGTAAACATATGATTCATTCGCCTATCGGCCTGACATTCCTTTAATGTTCTGCAACTAGGAAAAATCGCCAGTTCCTTTTGTCTGAGTGGGGACTAGGAAAGGGAATATTGATTAATCACGGGGGTTAAAAATGAAATGCCGCAAGTAAAAAATCTTGTTACGGTAATGTGGCATATTTTATACAACTATTGTCTGACCTCGTATAAACCCACGCTGCTCTTATCGGTTTAATCGTGAGGTAAATTTATTGCATTATTCTGTGGACAAACACTCTACGATGTTTCGTTTTACGTTGGCTTTTTTTATCGCCAGCCTCTGTTTTTCCGCAATAAGGTAACTGTTTTTCCGATTTTTATCTGTTTATGGCTTTATGCTGAACATATAATGAGTATAAATGTGAAACCTCTCAATTTTCTTGTTGAGAAATTGCCTTTTATTTTTTTTCCCGTTAAACAATTTTGAGAGAATTGATAGTCTTGTCGTTGTATGATTTCACACGCCGCTTAGACCCTCAGTTCATTTGTCACTTTAATGTACAATTACTAAATACACAAGATTTTTAATACGAAAAATTTTACAAGAACAACGAGGCTCACATCTGCACAAAAATCGAGAGCATTATTGTAACTACTTCGGCCGGGATACAAGTGTGAAATATTATTAATTGACAAAGCAAAATATATCAGTTCATACGGATGCAAACGCATTGCAGGTTTTTATTGGGTAAAAACAACGATGAAAGAGATCATAACCAACTTGAAGTAGTTAGAAGCGCAAAGCTGCTGGGTGTGATAATTACAAGCGATTTATCACTGGAATGAGCACATTAACGAAACTGTAAAGAAGGCGTCTAAACGTTTGTATTTCCTAGTTCAGCTTTAACGGGCAAAGCTTCCATGTAGGGTCTTAGTCCTCTTTTATGCCACATGTATAAGATCAATCCTAGTTTATGCAGCGCCTGTTTTCTTTTATGCTCTGCCCGAATATTTACAGTGTGAGCTGGAGCGGGTCCATAAAAGGGCATTATCAATCATTTGCCCCAGTCTGTCTTATGACGAGGCACTTCAAGTTGAAGCTGGTATTCCAACCATTATTTCATATTGCGAGGACTTATGTGACAAGGTTTTTAACGCTGGCATCGGCAACAAGGATAAACTTAACAAGCTATTAACTGAAGCCAATAAGGCTCCATTTTACTAAGAAATCACCGACACTTTGCACTTCCAAGCGGAAGACGGACCGTTTTCAGAACACTTTTATTTTGTCATCGTGCCTAAAGTACAATTAAATGATTCGGTTTGAATGCTTTTATATATTATATGCATGAATTTTTTAATATTTTAATATTAATGTATTGTAAATTATTCTATTTTTTAGCTTAGTTTTATTTGTAAATACATAATTCAGCCTCTGGCTGCCCATTTATCGTAATAAACTATCTATCTATCTATCTTATTATACGTATATAGCCTAAAGCGTTCATTTTTGTGGTAAAGGACAACAAAGGCTATTTATATATCATATCTATAGCGTTTTGTAGGATAAATTTGCCACCAAATTTTTGATTCCGTGCAAATTCTTTCAAAAATGAATATGCGCGATCAGCTAGGAGTAAGCTAATCACATGTAATCAAGTATGTAACTTGTTAAACTTGATTTTCACGCAGGGCCATGGAGAAGAAAATTCGATACAAAGTTCTTGAGATGGACCCAAAAGGAAACCTTTACCTTTACAAGACTGCGTTTCTCTGCAAAAATGAAATTGTTAAACGACTTATAAATGACACATACCAGCTGGTAGAATCGAACCCTATCGGTGAGTCGCGGTGGTGGTTTAACATGCAATGCAACGACTTTTAGATTTTTATTCAATTAGTATAAGACCAGAGAATTTTCCAAGTAAATCGTGCTGAGCTATTTCATTGATCTGTCACTCCTACGATGTAAGAAAAGCTTGTAAATTCCTGAATTAGAGGAATAAGATTTAACTTCCTTGAACTGCTAAGAATGTCAAAAAAGCGAGAAACCGCAGTGCTGCAGTAGTGCCACTCAAAATGTTTTTCTTCGTTCTCAATACTCACCACGGAGAGCAACCGTTGCGTAAATTCAGGTCGTAAGCAGAAAGTTATTTTGTCCATCTTCCCTTGTTTTCAGTGGTAACTGTGGTGACGGGAAGGACGGCTGCTGGCACGCGCTTTCAGAATCAAATCTCATTTTCAAATGGTCGTTTTCTTTATAAACGCAGGTCTGTCAAAAGATTCTCCAGCACTCAATTGCAACGATCTCAAAACAAAGGTGCCTTCTGCCACGTCAGGCGTCTACTGGATTGACCCGGATGCTGGTTCCCATAGCAACGCTTTCCAAGCCTATTGCGACCAACAGACGGACGGCGGAGGTTGGACTTTGGTCTGGAGTTATACCTTCACAACTTATTCAAGCTTCACGTCTGGTGCAAACGCTGTCACTCCGCGGCCTACATGGACAGCCAGCAATGCTAACACAAGAGTGTCCACCGCAGTTCCACTGAGCGAGACGCATTATGAAGCCATGAACTTTGCTTTGTGGCGCACCATTGGAAAAGAATTCCTTATCAAGAGTAACATCAACAACTGGATCGCTTGCACGGAGGGATCTGGAAGCCTAGTGATGCAGAAAGCGGGGTCCCTCAACTGTAAACTGGTCAAACAAGTTTCAAAGCAGTGTACCGGTGTAGTGTCAAAGTCCATCACGATACACAGTCATGGTCCTTATCTCAGCAGTGCAAGCAACTACTATTACTTCGACGGTAGTACAAGTGGAAACTGGCCCACACATGATCCATGTGGCAGAAATCAAGCGAATCAAGTAAAAGGCGTGGTCAATCCACATGGCAATATTTTTGTAAGGTGAAAAATTTCTCAAGCGCCTTCTGAATATTGGGGAGGAGCCAAGATAAAGTCATTAAATGCCAATAAGCACTCTAAGAGATTGTAAACAAAGCTAGTAGCAAAAATTTAAACGTAACATACAACTGAAAACTATACTACTGTTGTGTGGCAGCAGAGGGCAGCGGAACATTGTAAATGAATAGCCAATAAATGTGGGTTCCTTATATTGCAATTGTTTAATCAGTATATTTTTCAGTATTACATAAGGTTTCATCACCCAGTTAGTTCATCTACGATTCCTACCGTCAAAGAGTAAAACAAAGTTTAATTAATTCCCTTGACCAAATTTTTCTCGTTTATACGTTTTTCGCGTCATCCTTCTGAAAAGGCTGTTTAATTAAGGGCACCTCTAAAAGACGGACGCCTGGTGTTGGCCTCTGTTGTTTTCAAGTCATTTTACCGTAACTATACTCTCTATAAATAAGAAGGACACCTCCCTACGACGAACAACTTACACATGTGAAACCGTCAAAGGACACTTGAGAAGTGATTTATGACGTGAAAAATGCGTCTAAGCGGAAATTTAGGTAATCACCATGAAAGTAAACTGCTACAACAAGGGGAAAGGAATTTACATTACCAAATACTGTACGGGACTCCTATTGCTCGTATCTTAAAACCATTATCGACCTTTCTAAATGTCACGTGGAGAGAAACAATTAAAACACCTTTCTGTTATCTTCTCCTTTTCGTTGAACTATAGTTTAGTCTTTCAAGAGAACTTTTCCCACCAAAAACAAACCATTACTTACTGTATTACAGTTTGTGTTGTAGTTAAAACGTTTACTCAAAGAAGCAAATCACTATAGTTTTATTGTTTTGTAGTCTTGTACATGTTCCAGTTCGCAGATTGTATAATGTTGCACCTCAGTGTAGACCACTAAACCGTGACATTGGTTTGTAATGATTGATTTTTCTGCATGGGTTCCATAATGGAGGCTGCATAATTATTCTATAGATGTAATTGTACCCTAAGACCATAGTGGCAGATGGATATGTTTCAACATTAATAATAATTTACATTCAGACATACCGATATTAAGAAGTCACGTTGGAGATTAAAAAGGTTTAAAATAGCCTGTAGAGAGCGTTTCTGCGCGAGTTTTGTGCAAATTTAAGTTTTGAGAGAGCAAAAAGAGGAACAAAGCCGGGGGGATAACTCGCGCAATAACTCGATTGGAAACGCTTGCTACACAGGCTAGGTATAATATGAAGTGAAGCTTTAAACATAGAGGGAAATTTTGAGTTAAATTTCGAGGACATTATTAAGTGATAAGAAAGCCTGAATCAAACGTCCAATTTCACACGTGACAAACCTAATGCATGCCAATGAGCTAAATGTAATGCCAGTCCCACACAATAACATTAGGTTCGCTTTACATTTGAAGTTTAAAGTTTTACCCAGGTCTTTAAGTTTTCACAAAAGTAACTAAGAAAAGGGGGATTCTGAAGACGAAATAAACGTAATGACTGAATTATTTATCTCAAATTTATATATTCTATTACAATTATGTCACAGCTAAAAGAAGCAAGGCAAACTGAGAATTCTCAAAAGAACCATATAACAGAGGAAGATAAACTTAGATACATGGCGTTCATCAACCACCATGAATAGTTGTGACCTCTAATAACTATGCTGTGACATGAAAAAAAACTTGGGGAAGACCTTCACCCTTACACTAGAAATCAAAAGCACTGAAAAGAAAATAGTCGCCAAGCGATGACATCAACAACGTTCTTACTCTAGCCTTACCGGCTTTCGTGAAAGAAATGTTTTGACCTATATTGGAGGTTGCTATCGGTGACCAACATTGTTTGTCTGACACACATTGTTAATTGGAACATTTATAGGGCTTCAAAAATTTGCAGAAGTCATTATGATCGTCCATTGACTGCATTAATTACTTTGGACAATATATTTAGTTGTAACAAGTATACTTGCTTTTTTCTACGTTCAGTGGGAATTGTCTCTGGTCCGATCTTAAGGATTTTTTACTGGGACCGTACGCAGCCACGGAGAGAAAACTTAATGTAAGCTTTGCCCGAAATAAAACGATGTTGCCTTTTCACTCAGGGTTACTCTGGCGTCGGTTTTGCTTTTTGGTAGTCTTCATTTTACGTTTTTCACTCTCTCATCATTCCCCAATATTCGGTTGGATCCAGTGCCGTAAAAAATGCTGAACGCGACGGTTCTTTGTTCCAGTTTTTTGTCGAACAATCCGGGAATCCTTCCAGTACTTCCAAGTGGCGAAAGTCTCCGATTAGATCTTTCTTTTCTCAAGGTTTTTAATAGAAGTTCTTCATAGCATGCAGAAAAACAACTGTTCTTTGCTGTAGAATATTAACTTTCTGGAGTAATCTGGCCCTTAATATCGTTTCAGCTGCGCGCAATGACCTTTGCTTTATAGTCCGGTGGCTTAGTGCAAAATTTTGGCGGGATCTATACAGAGCGGACAAAAGCACCAAACTTTGCATGGTTGTAGCTTAGGGTATTTTAGTCAATATTAGGATCGGTGCCCACAGCTACCTCTTCAGGATTTGCAGCAACTGCTCGCTGAAGTTCTTCAACAACCTTCCATGATGGGTGGCCTGTGCCGAAAATTGCAATCACTTGTTTTTTGCCATTTTTTGATGAAAATCACATAAAAAGGGAAGTGAATGGAAAAAGAATAACTGTATTAATACTATTATTATTGAAACCAATGACTAAAACAAGTCGACTTAATGATATAGCAATTATGATGTACCATGGTGGGTGCCCTGTGCTAAAAAAATCAATTCCTTTTTTTTGCCATTATTTTGATGAAAATAACATGAAGGACATGAAAATAAAAAAGAAATTGTATTTTTTATTGAACCCAATGGAAAAAAAACATGCCAACTAAATGGAAAATCCAAGGAAGATGTTTTCAGACGCGTACTCAGTCCCAAATAGCCTTTCAAGGTGGCGGTTGTGTCTTTTCATGGACTGTAAGTATCTACTAGAATAAATTGCCGTTTTTTAGGGGAAATTGTATACAATTTGAACCACGACAGGTTTAAGTGAATTTTAAGTTCTTCTTGGTGATAAATTTGTTATCGAAAGCTACATTTTCTCTTCACATTTTGTGCCGATTATGAATGACTATACTGAGTTTATTTTCGTACTGGTTAAAATTAATAATAGTAAAAATAGCTTCTTTCTATAGCGCTCATATCCTGAGCGCATGGTGTTTTACAATGTTAAAGAAGAAAAAAAATTATATCTCGAGCATGAAATAACATGTATTAAAATCTATTTGCAATTCACAAAGAACAAGAATTCATCTGTTTTAAAGTTATTTTGCCTTTAAAGTTTATATATAATGATAATAAGTCGTGCAAAAAACTAAATATACATTCTATAATTAAGTATAGGTATATGATCTGCAGATATTAAAGACGTTTTACAAAAGTACTGACTTACTCTCTAAAAATTGCGTAAAAAGATATGTTCTCAGTCCTTTCTTTCAACTGGCTAAAGATGGTGACTTGTGAAAATCTAGCTAATGGTAGTGAGTTCCAGAGTTTAGGGGGGCACACTGAAAAAGTCTTTTCCCCGTGAGTTTTCGAGGTTGTTCTAAGAGCTGCTGAGATGCGGACCACAAGTTCCTGGAAGGCCTTCGATAACTGTCCGCTAGATTGCTAGGTGGAAGGGTATTAAATAAGTGATTTGAAAACTGACAAAATAAGTTTAAAAACAACGTGATAACTAACAGGAAGCCAGTGAAGGTCAAATAAATGATGTGTTCGCAAAGTTTACGAGTCCGAGTAACGATCCTAGGGCCAGTGTCTGAACATATTATTAAAAGTTCCTTCAAGTGCATTTTCCTACAACCATAGAGCAAAGAATTGCAATAAATAGTCTGTTTTAGATGTAATAAAAGCATGCACTGCAATTTCACTAGACTCCTGTGTGAGACACTTTCTTATCTTTGATACATTCCTGAGTTGGTGAAACGATAATCTGCAAAAGAATGCTGAGACGTGTGCGTCAAACAGCAAGTTGTCATCAAATACTACTCCCAGGCTTTGTTGGTGGCGGTTCTTAGCCTTGCATTACCCATAATGACGTCGCTAAAGGGTGGACGATTACGGTACATCGACAAGATAAGCATGATTTCAGTCTTATCATGATTGAGATTAAACTAGTTTCTACACACCAAGATGGAAATCAGTTGGGATCGTTGTCATATTTACCTAGGGTGAGAATCGAAAAGAGAGGATCTGAGAAACCCATTAATTTAACAGAATAATTTTTTATAGAACGCTCCTTGACAATTTACTAGAATTCAAGAAAGAGGACTGTGCCGTCTGGTTGCCATTAAGTTTCATATTGAAATCACTACAGTAGTAAACACGCTACTGAAGTGCAAAGTGGCATCAATCCTGTCACCTTACGTCCAAATTACAAAAAGCAAACTAGAAAAGAGAAAAAAGCATGTTAAAGCAGATCAGAAACAGCCAGTTGGAGATTGTGGCACCAAACGAGCTTGTAAGACTGACACTATAGGGGGACTGCAAAGTGTGTGCCTCTGTTTGTAACGAATACCGCTTAATATGAAGTTTGGCAAGTATAAAGAAATGTGTATCATTGTCCACTGCATTTGCTCTGTACTCAGTGAGTTCAACAAATGCTCTTGATTTATTTAATTTCTCGTCTTCCTCGACCTTCTAAGCTGCTCCACTTTTCTTCTTGCGTTCCTCTGACATGTGCGGCCTATTTCGCACTTCAGCCTTTTTAGTACATTTTCAAGGAGCAATCTATAAATTAATGCTTGTACCATTAAACCAGTGGGCTTCTCAAATCTTCTTTTGTTGATTCTTGGCAAATATAACAACGATCCCAGTTAATATCCATCCTGGTGTGTAGAAAACATCTCAGCTTCAGAAACCTTTAACTAACCAGTAGGTCAATAAACTCAGTATAGTCATTCATAATCTGCACAAAATGTGAAGCAAAAATGTAGCTTTCGATAACAAATTTATCCCCAAGAAGAGCTGAAAACTTCACTTAAACCTGTCGTGATTCAAATTGTGCACAATTTCCCCTAAAAAACGGCAATTTATTCTAGGAGATACTTACAGTCCATGAAAAGACACCTTCAAGCCGCCATCTTGAAAGGCTATTTGGGACTGAGTACACGTCTGAAAACATCTTCCTTGGATTTTCCATTTAGTTGTCTTGTTTTTGTCATTGGTTTCAATAATAATACAATTTCTTTGTTTATTTTCTTGTCTTTCATGTGATTTTCATCAAAATAATGGCAAAAATCAAGGAATTGATATTTGTAGCACAGGATACCCACCATGGTATACCATAATTGCTATATCATTAAGTTGACTTGTTTTAGTCATTGGTTTCAATAATAATAGTATTAATACAGTTATTCTTTTTCCATCTACTTCCCTTTTTATGTGATTTTCATCAAAAAATGGCAAAAAACAAGTGATTGCAATTTTCGGCACAGGCCACCCATCATGGAAGGTTGTTGAAGAACTTCAGCGAGCAGTTGCTGCAAATCCTGAAGAGGTAGCTGTGGGCACCGATCCTAATATTGACTAACATACCCTAAGCTACAACCATGCAAAGTTTGGTGCTTTTGTCCACTCTGTATAGATCTGAGCCTTTAGCCACCTGACTATTACCCTCTGTTTTGGAAGCCATTTTGAATCCGGAATTTAAAAAGGCCTGGAAAAAACGGTAGTGCCAGGCTCCCGCGCGGTATGAAATTAGGCAATACCACACATTTAGTAAAATCCAACTAGTGGTCTATTATCAATGCTGCGTTCTGATTGGTTGAGCTACTACTAGGCTATATGTTATACGCCACTAGTAGCGAAAAGCGCTGGGTTTGAAAACCAAAACAATGGCGGCCGAATCGCGTTTTGCTAGCTAAAGTTGTTTTGTCTCGATATTTTTGACCAACTACACCGTAGTTGGATTTTACTAAAACAATTATTCCTCACACCCTCATGGCCTCTGAGTCAATAGCCCATTCGGCCTTCGGCCTAATGGGCTATTGACTCAGAGGCCATTCGGGCTCGACAAATAATTGTTAAATACATTTGACCACTCCTTTATCAAGCCTTTGAGTAAAATCCCAGACATATTTGGCAAAACCTTTGTCAAACTTTTGACTTAAAATCTTAGACGTATTTGACGACACCTTTGCGCATCTTTGACCTGAGCCTCAGGTGGCACATTTGACGACGCTTTTAGCAAGCCTTTAACTTTAATCTCAGACATTATTTTGCCGCGCTTTTTTCACACCTTTGGGTCGAATCTCAGACATATTTGACGACGCCTTTGATAGGGGCACAAATGCTTGTCAAATATACTTTTGACGCGCCTTAAAGGTGAGGGTTAAAGGCGTGGCCAAAACGGCCTAAAGACCCGCCTGAAACCGTCGTAAGACCAACATTTGTCGCGCGTCAAAGGTGTGCAAAGGTCGTCTTTATCGCGCGTTTGACTGCGCCTTTAACGCTCGATAAATTCATGATTTCGTCCCGTAATATTGCTTGTTGTGAATTAACTAGAGGGTCTCAATGGGGTGGTGGCATTTACGGTTATCGGCTAAAATTTTGGCTCTTTTACGGCTATCGGCTAATTTTTTTCAGTTACGGTTAACAAAAAAGTTAAAAATTAACTTCTTTTGTTTCAAAAAGTCAAATATTAATTAACCTGGGCCGGGTTGTTCGAAGCTGGGTTAAGTTAACCAAGGGTTAGTGCAAAATTTGAACTCCGATATGAGAGCTTAAAAAGCAAATTCAATTTAATTCTCTTTGGCTACAATTTGGTGATTGGATAATCTAAAAAGAATAGCGAAAATTATCCAATAGTGTGCTTTTGATAAAAAGAAAAAGAAACCCGGGTTAAAATTTAACCCCGGGTTAGCGCTAACCGGCGTTCGAACAACTGGGCCCTGTATTTTTGGTATCTTTAAAGCAAAATAAAGGTCTTATAAAGATGATCTCGGGATATGAAATAAGCTATTCTTTTGAAAAAATTTAACATTTGATAGATCATACTTTTTATAAAGTATTCCACTTCTAATATTATTTTACACATAAAAATGTCAATAGTCAATTTAAAAATAATCTTTGTGAAAAAGCAAAGCACACACGCGAAC